CTAAATCTTTAAGCATCCTATTTATATGTTGGTTTGAAGTATAGGCCTGTAAAGGGCACATTGAGGAACACTTTTCCCAGTCCTCAGCCTAACATAGAGATTATATCATAGAGGTTTAGATAAAATAAAGATATAAGAGAGTACACTATATACATAGAGATTATATCATAGAGGTTCAGATAAAATAAAGATATAAGAGAGTACACTATATATAGAGATTAGAGAAGATATTTATTTTAACGGAATTTTATAAGTTTATAGAGATGATAAATATTTCACCTTTAAACTTGGCATTCCGGAGGACTCATTTAAAAACCTAAATAAGAGAAATAAATATTTTTAGTTTGAACAACAGAAGGACTAAGTAAAACAAACACTCCACTTTATTAGAATTGAAAAGGGAGGCCTACAGGCTACAGTGATTATTTACAATTGTCCCAAACAGTCAAGGTACTAATGCAAAGAAAGTTAATTGCGGTCGCGTATGCTCTGCGTGCATATTGAAACCAGTTATCTCTGGGTGGAGTTTGTAAACAAGAATAGATGCATTAGTGTTCGTTTAGTATCCGAGGAGATTAAAAGCATTTCATTTGATGATTTTGAAAATTCACATAATTATAGTTTCCTATGACCACAATATTTCAAAGATTATTTTTGTGAAAATGGATTCCATGTCAGTCTGTGACATCCGTCTTGTGTTTACTTTTCCGCCCAATGACGGTACACTGTAATACAAAAAATGTGTACACCTCTGAAATAACTTTTCTTGCATTAGTACTTTGCAAACAGTCAACTACACTTTTATTTTCCAACATATAGAGTTGTTTTATAATAATAGGCGTCCTAAAAGCCCATCTTCTATTTCAACTTTAATTGTCCTCTATATGTGAGCATCTTCTCTTTATAATATAAAACAACAACTAAGATTTAATTAATGTTTTTGTGGATTTTTAAAATTGAACAAAAATCTAAAAAATTTGTGGAGACAAATGTTTTAAATTTTGAGCATCAATAAACTTTCCTTGGGGTCACGTTAGGTTCCACACAAAATTTGGGGCCCAATTTGGACGGTTCAGCCCTTTTGACTTTTATTGAATACAAACGGACTGACAAACAAACAAACAGACCAAGCAAAGTATGAATGCTGCGTAGATTAAAGACGACGGACTCAATGCTCATTTTAAGTATAACCATCACCGTGTAGGACAATATCCAGTGCTTCCCCCCGCCTCACCCCCTCCTCCAGGAGGCCTAGTAGTGCACTCATAATGATGGTATCCTGGAAGAAAAAAATATTATTCCAAACACGAAGAGCGCTAAAATTAAACTTCAGTAAAATATGTCACATTTGATTTCTGCCATATTTTCATCATTATTTGATATTTACCGTTATAAAAGAATGGAAACGAGCAATGTTGGTTTCTGATAGTTTTACAGCCTCTGCTATACAGTCTTTCATCGTCTAAACATGGGTAGGTAGGTAGGTAGGTAGATAGGTAGGTAGGTAGGTAGGTAGGTAGGTAGGTAGGTTGCTAGCTAGCTAGCTATGTAGGTAGCTAGGAGGGTAGGTAGGTAGGGAAGTAATGAGCTAGGTAGGTAGGTAGGTAGGTAGATATGTAGTTAGGTACGTAGGTAGGTAGGTAGTTAGTTAGGTAAGTAGGTAGGTAGGTAGGTAGGTTGGTAGGTATATGCATGTATAGATAGACAGATAAATGGGCTGAATATTTATAGATAGAAAATAAAACCAGAATTATTCAGAGAATCTCTAAGACCATATAAAAAATATCGGTTAGGACCTTTATCCCTTCAAAAATAAAGAACGTTCCTAGATTTACTGAGGTTCCACACATAGAATAATTTAATTAACCTGAGTCCTCAGCTAGAGCAGAAATTATTCTGTTAAAAATCAAGAGAAGTGTCCACCCTGTATATCTGGTTCTTACAATCATCTTTAAACATTTTCATAACATTATAGGTCAGATTTCATGATTTCTTTACCAAAAATCCCAAATAAGAATAAAATACAAAAGAATAAAATGTGGTTCTGTTTTGAGAAAAATGTGACGAATGTTTTCAATAGTTTAAATGTTATAAAAATTGTTTTTAGTTTTTAAATTAATTTTCTGTTCACATTACAATAATTGATAAAAATAAAAAGTTAAGAGAACTTTTTAATCTGGAAATTTTTTAAAGTCTTGAACTCTTAGCTTCACTTCACTACAGGTGTTAAAGACAACTAACTGAAGATTGACCGCTAGTGTTTCAAGTATCTACTGTGAAAGAGTTTGACCGCTAGGTGGCTGGCTCCACAGTCTGCTGAGTGCCCAGCCACGGGTCAACTGTATAAGAGGGACTACTAGGAGCTGGAACCCTGGTCGCTATGTCCAGGGTCTTTTTAAAGGAATTGTCAATGTAATTTTAAAAGTAGTTCAAAATCAATATCATATATTTTTCAATATTATCGTTCATTATGATATATCTTTGATATTTTCTTAGTTTTTTACATATTTCTAATAAAGTTGATAAGAAGAAGAAGTAATTTTAAGAAACCCTTAAATTTAAAGCGATAAAACGGTGTCCTTTCCCCAATTATAGGATTAACCATGAAGAAGATATCTTCGTTTCTATCTCTTAAAAAAATTTCTCTTCCTAAAAAGAACTGTCATTAAAATACATTATGTTGAACAGGCAAAGGTTCAAAGGTATAAAGTGTATCGTTATATAAAGTGTACAAGGACATGTAACTCTTTAAATGAACCTTAGACCAGATTTAATGAATGCGTGTCATGGTTGAACCACTTCTCTGCAGATTTATCCGGCGCACAAGAGAAGTGGTCGAACTACGTCTGTGTGGTTCAGCTGCTTCTCGCTATTTAATAAATTTGGTCGCTGGTATTTTAAATTTGGTCGGTAGTTGATCATATCTTTGCAACACATGGTGTAAACCTTTAATATTCCAAACTTACGATTATTTGATCTAAGAAAATTCATAGTTTGAAATATCCCTATTTTGAAACAATTACCGGATTTCAGCTTATGTCATTTTTCGGAACATATCCTGGTTTTGAGACAATTACCGGAATTACCGTAAAAATATAAACAAAATAGAAAATAAAAACAAACTGTTCTATTATAATTTAAAAATCATTACAGCATAGAGAAATCAAAATAATAATATCATTTGTTCTTACAATAAATATTTAACTAGAAATGCGGGAAACTGTTTGTTTAATTAAAATGCTTGAAAATAAATCATCCATATTCTCTAATTTAACAGATAAAATGTGGAAACTTAGATTCTAGAAATAATTTAGAAGTTAATTAAATCTTCATAAAATAATTTTTGTTTTCTGTAATTTATTTTGTAAGTTATGAAAGTGAGTTTTGTTTTGAATTGAATATTATACTCAAAAACGTGAAAGTGGGTTTTGTCTCGAAAACGCGACAATGTTTCAAATTCAGGATATGTTCGAAAAATGGAAAACCTACCATTGTCTTGAAAACGGTCAAGAGATTTAATATAAAAAGAACCCTTATAATAATTTTGATTTAAATAAAAAGTTTAAAATTGGGAATTGTTGTCATCGTCATGTTTAATAAAATGTTGGTTATAGTTTTGGAACTAATGTCTCCTGAATTTCAAAAATTAGACTCCAACGAAATTCGGTTTCCATTCAATTTTGAAAATCCACAAAATATTTTTATGAAATCCGCAAACTTTTTTTGTTTTTGCTGTACAATGTGTACAAAGAGAAAATATTCACAATTGAAATAAAATATGGCCGCAGCCTAGTTTCGTATAAAATATTAGGATTTCTTATCACAGTGTTGGATCCCATGGTTCCTGGGACATTTAGTCAAAAAACGTATTTAAACTTCATATATTTTATTAATTTTTCAAAACTAGTTTAACAAATAAAAAATTTACAAAAACAATCACATAATATTTTACAATTAATTGATAAAAATGCCGCAATGAGTTTTATATTAATGTAAACTAATTTTTGTAATTTATAATAACTTTGATTTCCAAAAAAAATTCTCTTAAAAAAGTTTTTTTCTACAAATTAATATTAGTTCATCATACTGCAGTATAAGTTTTAAAGGCAGATCTTTAAGATATTTATTCTTCTCAAATTTATCCTCTTCAGGCCAGAATACCTTGATACACAGTGAAACCCACAAAACTGTGGATTAGTTAAAATACAATATGGGCCTCAGAGTAAATTCTATATTTTTCAGCTTTTTATATCTTTTGTTTTAGATTTGCGCTCAGCTCTAACAAATAGCGCGGCATCCTTGAGTTCTCCCTTCTGTATCTTGTCTATATCCACCATCAGATCATACAGGGTGTTCTCAGGAACCATGCTGTCCCCCCTGAGATAAAGAATATGTTTATAAGGATGGGGGCGGGGCTATTGTAACCCCCCCCCCCAGTTAGACAATATTATTAGACGGATTTGGAGGTTAAATCGGGCATTGTCATTTTTACATGAAGGGTCACTTGAAATTACGCTTACAGTCCCTTTTAGAAAACGACAGAACAAAGCCGACATTCATTCAAAAGTTTTCTGGTTTTAATCGTAATAAACCATCATTCCATTGAAATTTAACGTACCTGTATGATGGGTGTTTGCTAATATAGTCACGGATCCAGCGCGCGTTTGTTTTAAGTTTTCCAGATGCGCGCTGGGACAACAGCTGCCAATAGTTACTGCGAGCACAGGTTGAACTTATTTCTAGGTTTGCAGCAAAAAGATTAAAGAGAAAGATACATAAAAAAACGTGCTGTTTTTTTATAATTTGTATTATTTTTATCATTACAAATAGATATTTTAACTCTCAATTTGTAATAAAAAAGATGGATCTTGTACATAAGTTTTATTCCTTAATGTACAGCTTGTATCAGCTTCTACATCATCCAGACCTCTCATGTACTCTCGTACAAGCGCCAGTAATCCCTGTAAGAATATTGTACAAGGTTGAGTAATTTAGTAGCAAACCTTAAAATTGTCCAAGTTAAAAGTGAAGTAAATATAAGATGAACAAAAAAATTTAATTGAATTGTTTCCAAACTAAAGTCTTTGCATACAAACTATATAATAATAACTAATTTTTTAAAATCCGGAATATTGTTGCTTCAGTGATTCCTAAAAAATAGGAATCGATTTCAAGTTGAATCTACTCTGAATTTAATCGTAAATCTGGTACTCTAATGAATACTCAAACAGTAAACACCATATTGACCGGATCCTGGGATTTCAAAAATGTGGTCTCCTTGTGTTGTGACTTCTCAATTTCTTCCCAGTTTGAATTGGTTGGATAAAATTTCAAATTTTCTAAAACTTATTTAGACAAATCAAAATTGGAGAACACATTTTGTGATATTTTTATTTAATTATTTTCATTATCTTTTTATACGGACAATGAAGACACTCTTTACCTGATAATCTGATCCCGGGATACCGTTCAATATTTCATCAACACTCAACTCCTCAATCTGAGGATCAGAGTCCTCAGAGACAGTAAATATATCCTTCCTACAATATCATTATATTTTAAAGGGACAGTAAACATACTTTCAATTTTAAAAAAGAGTGGCATGTCCGATTCACAATGTTATCCTTTAAATCTCTATCAGTTATAAAACGTGTTGAATTTTTACAATTTCTTTAATTGTCCCTGAAGGAAAAATCAGCTCGTTAATATCATCCTTAAATGAAAATAAGCAATTTTTTAGAGAAAAATAAAGATATGTCATTAATCCTTAATCAGATAAAAGTTTAAACAATACTATTGTGAATCGGATTTCCCTTTTCCCTCGTATACAGTTCCTTAATCTAAACTTTATATGATTATTTTTAGATTTGGACAAAATCGAATTTTGTCAGGATAAAAGTAAATTTTTTTGTGATGTATAAATTGTATAAGCTTGACCAGTTGTTGAGAAAAAAAATCTTATAAAAGTTCAATTTTAAAAGAATTATCTACAATATTTTTGTTTGGGGATTTAAATCTGAATATCTTTGCTTAAAATAGAGATACAGAAAATACTGACTACAATTTGAATTTATTAATATCTTTTATATTTATTAAAAGTTTACCTCCAGTAAAACTTCTGATTAAGCACAGCATCCCTCTTCTGCGCCCGCTTCATGTTCTCGTCCATCAGACTTATCGGCATCAGCAGGTTCCACTTGTAACTTAGAATTGCGCGCGTGAGGAGAACAACAAAACAAACCACAGCGGCATTCTCGAAATCAGAAATCTGAAGTTCACATGGTCTGAACTCCACCCTCCAACCGATACCCTGGCCAGGGGGCGGGGGTTTGAACCTCATGGTCTGCCAGTTCGTGGATTGGATGTTCTCAAAGTGATCAAGGTCGTCTTCATCATAGCTACCGTCAGATTTAATCTTGTTCTGGAACATACTCACCGAGTCTCTAAAAATAATACTCGGTACAAATTTTCTGAATCTGTATCTGAATCTGTATTTGTATCTGTATCTGTATCTGTATCTGTATCTGTATCTGTATCTGTATCTGTATCTGTATCTGTATCTGTATCTGTATCTGTATCTGTATCTGTATCTGTATCTGTATCTGTATCTGTATCTGTATCTGTATCTGTATCTGTATCTGTATCTGTATCTGTATCTGTATCTGTATCTGTATCTGTGAATGTATCTACCTAATAAAAAGATGAGCCACATGTTGAGCCATGAGTACATCAACTCCACCATCACAGAGCTCTTTGAAGATTTCTTCATCATAGATCAACTGCACATTCAAGATTTAAATATTTTTATTTCAAACCAAACTATAGATCAATAAACACTAAAAAGAGTGAACTTAGATTTATCCCTCGGAATAGTGCTTTTTTTATGCGTGTGCCATTAAACCGGCATTTCTGATTGGAAAATAAAATTTATAAATCGTTCAATTCGAAAATGCATATTGAATAAATAAATAAAAGATCAACCATCATTCCGTGGAAATCAAGGCTGATAGACCCCTTTTAAATTAACCGCCAAAGGACGGAATACATATTAACACCCTGTACATGCCTTTTCTTCAATTTTATAAGCTTTTAATATATCACCTCTTTATCATTGTATCCATTCCAGTTCTTGCAGCACCCTGACAGATAGGAGTCGATAGAATCGTATCTAGATTTCGGGATTACAAACTTGTTGTGCACAAGGGGGTCTAATCCTCTCTCCTCACGGGTTCTGGAATTAGAATTTTTGGTTTTTCATTTTATATTTTTGACTTTTTGTTCTTTTTATGTTGACATGAAAATTTTGAAACATTAAATCAAAGTTATTATTTGCTTTTTTTCAGAAATGAGAAGTTCTCACACAGACTTGGTAAATCCCAAGAAGGAGTTGCATATTGTGAAGTAAATTAAAAACCATAAGATCATCTCTTTCTTTCATGAATTGTCTGCATATCTTCTTCTGATCATTTAAAACGTTTCAAAACTTTCAACAACAATACCCTAACAACTCATTCTAGTAAGATAAAGTGGAACTGAAAGGTTTAGGATAAAAATAAAAAGGTTTAAAGGGCACAGTTGTAAACCATTGATGGAATTTTTCTAAATGAAAGTAAATGAGCTAAAAATACGTCCCTTTCAGATTCCTTATTCTTCATGAATACCTGTCATCCACACTGGCAGCAATAATATCCCATCTACAGTCTGTATCCACCAAGTATCCTCTGCTCACACAAAACATTAGATTTTCAATCAAGTTCAGAATTGGTTCTTATTTTTGGTTTTCAAAAATCAGGTTTTAACTTGGGGGAAGGTTTGTAAAAAATTCTTGGGTAATAATGATGAGTAGAAACCAATAAAACAATTCCTTAATTAGGTTTAATGCACGACTGAAAAAATAATGAATTAATTTAACCAAAATTATTTAATTATTTAATGTTCTTATTCCTATGGCAGGGGCTGGCAGCGGTAAGGGCCAGCATGATGGGGCAGAGGGGAGCTAGCTGATCATAAAGAGATCTAGCCTCACAGATATTATCAGCCTGGAAGGTCAACTGGAGACAGCATAGACCCATGCCGAACCCCATAGCATCCATGTACACATGATCAGGTTTAGCAGCGTTAGCACTTGATCCATCATCTCCCAGTCCAGAAAAATCTTCAATAAATGGATCTGGAGTATTTACATCTTTAAAAATTGGCACATTAATGGCGACCTTTTCCCCTCTTCGCTCCCTGATATTAGCAGAGAGCCGGGAGAACCTTGGATGTCCCAAAAATGTTGCTTTGCTCGGCCAGAATAACGATTTAGTAAAGTTGTCTGGGTTCTGAGGATCTGGATGGGTTGGGGGAAATGTAAAATCTGGACAGCCTAGTCTAGGGTAGGTCGAGAGGGAAACACAGATCTCATCTTTCTCTAACAGTGCTTCAAGTTCGTTTCTTCGAACCCTCATATTGTGCTCAACTGTGTTAAAGAAGCTCATGCTTCCCTCGTAGGGTACCCCGGGGGTTCCCTCAACCATATAGCTGGCGTACTCCGGTCTCCACAGGGAGAGCAGCTCTATCTGAGAGCTTCCAGTCTTCTCCACCTCCTCCTTCATCAACTCCTCCTTAACCGTCAGCTTAGCGAGGAGTTCCTCCGCCTTCAAGCTTACACGTGCTTTCCTGGACTCGTGGTCTAGCTTCACAATAATATATTCTACTTCATCTCCCCACTTTAGGGCTCGACCTTTCTCATCCTAAACAATACATTTATAGCTGGCTAAACGTAACAACAAGTTTATGTAAGAAATTAGTTATATTTCCTGTGGCAAATATTTTCTGTAACAAACGAATAGTTAATGTGATCGGTATCTTTATATAATAATTATTTTTAAAGGAAATCAAAACGCAATTTAAAAAATTCTGAGATTAATTAATTAATTATAATCATAATTTAAAATGATGTAGCTATATATATATAAAGTTGTAATCTCTGTTTGTTCGATTATAACTCAGGAACCCCTGGACCGATCTGTCTCAAATTTTGCTTGAGGAACTCGGGACAACCACGGGAATGTTTTTAGCTTTGTTTTACGATTCTATGTTGATTTTATTGCGTCATTTAAGGTAATTCAGCGATTTGGGATTTTAGGAACAAGGATAACAAAACAAAACTATAAACATTATAGGTTTAATAAATAGGAACATATCAAAACACCTCAAAATCATATACTGCACATTCAANTGAAATCCTGTGTCCGCCCCTGGCTATTATTATTATACTCTCTGTAGTATTAAGAAAGATTTTATCAAAAGGAATACAAGTCTCATCCATTAAAACAGGCAATAAACTATAAATCTGATATTACGTAACAATTCTATAGCTTTCCGTAGGTTCGTTTTCAATTTTAGAAACATTTATCTGTTTATGCGTATTGGCATCGTTAATGTATTTGTACAGTTTAACTGTTTGACCCTGTATTATGTACACTCCTACCTTTAATTTATTGTACAGTTTGATGAACTGTTTGACCCTGTATTATGTACACTCCTACCTTTAATTTATTGTACAGTTTTATTAACTGTTTAACCCTGTATTATGTACACTCCTACCTTTAATTTATTGTACAGTTTGATGAACTGTTTGACCCTGTATTATGTACACTCCTAGCTTTAATTTATTGACCCTGTATTATGTACACTCCTACCTTTAATTTATTGTACAGTTTTATGAACTGTTTGACACACTGTACATACCTTTAATCTATTGTACACACTGTACATACCTTTAATCTATTGTACAGCTTGATAAAATGGTTGACCCCGTATTATGTACTACACTCCTACCTTTGATCTATTGTACAGTTTTATGAACTGTTTGACCCCGTATTTTGTACACTCCTAACTTTGATATATTGTACAGGTTGATGAATTGTTTGACCCCGTATTCTGCATACACTATACACTGTTAGAAAAACTTCTTCTGTCCCGTGCAATATATACAATTTGTCAGGTTACACTGCAATATATTGCATGGTTCAACAATTATATTAGTGCACAACTTCTTTGTCCGACATTTTAGATAAACTGCTGAAAAGTGTACACTGTGTGTACTTTGTACACTGTAACCTAGGAGATAGGAGATATATCGCTTGTCAAAGCATTATTAAATGGTGTGACAAAAGATTGCTAACTCGGAGAATAATGTGACAGAACTCATACTTATTGCGATAGAATTTTCAAATTTGCATGTTATCTAGCACTCATTATAAATACTGGAACAGAAGTTTTTTCTTGTTTTAATCAATATATTTCCTGTGACAGTAACATTTTCTGGTCAAGTTAATTATAAGAAGTGTGACAATAAATATAAGTAATGGGAGGTTTTTTTAGTGGTTTTCATGGAACCTATTTGTTCTTCGACAGCATTTTACCAGATTTGGAAGAAATGTTTTTCTAACAGTGTACCTTTAGTCTATTGTACAGTTTGATGAATTGTTTGACCCCGTATTTTGTATATATACACTATACCTTTAGTTTATTGTACAGTTTGATGAATTGTTTGACTCCGTATTTTGTAAATATACACTATACCTTTAGTTTATTGTACAGTTTGATGAATTGTTTGACCCCGTATTTTGTATATATACACTATACCTTTAGTTTATTGTGCAGTTTGATGTATTGCTTGACCCCGTATTTTGCATACACTATACCTTTAGTTTATTGTACAGTTTGAAAAACTGTTTGACCCCGTATTATGTACAGCCCTACCTTTAATCTATTGTACAGCTTGATGAACTGTTTAACACCGTATTTCCTGACATGCAATTGCCAGGGTTTCATTTCCTCCCAGCTCATTGGTTCTCCAGCACTTAGTAAACCCATTCTAAAAAAACTTTATACATATACATATCTGCAATTTGTAAAATTGTCTAATACAGGGTTACCCACATAAGATGAGACTTTAGAGAGGTGCGACTGCACAGAAATTTGTAAGTCTTTGATCTAGACAACAAAGGTTCCTTGGTGGAGCTGTAAACTGTTCCTTACTTTACCAAATCATTACATATGCTTACATATGCTTTTATAAGACAATATTTCAGGAAGAAACCCTCAAGAAATCTTTAGGTCGTTATTTCTACAGAGATTGAGGTCGTCATCAAATTCTTATTCTTTGCGAATAACTCTGAATTTTGTTTGATTGGAGTAATTTTTCTAAGCTTTGAAGATTCCTAAATAAAGCAGACAAATCTGCGAAATCTATGTTTTGCTGTTGGTAAATCGTGTACTAAAGAAGCACTAATTAAAGTAAATTTAATTTGAGAACTTTTAGAATGTACGTCGAGAGTTGACACAGCCTGTATTGTTCAGATTAAATATTAACAGTTTAAGTTTATTTAAATGTTTGCTCACCTGTCTGTAAAATATGCAACTGTGTTATGAAAGGAAAACTGTTGAATGTTATAGATCAGGTTTTCAACTGGTATATTGGGAGTATGTATACTATGAACCCTATGCTCTGCAGTGGAATCTATTAACCGCAAAATATTTTCCGTATCACAAGTCCTTTCACAGCTGTGTCACCGTCTCTTGATTACTGGACATTTCTCGCATTTTCTGGAACATGATATATTTTCAGATTTAAAGGATAAGGCGGTATTTATATCAGGTTTATAAACTGGTAATCCTTGTCTTTAAACTGCAGACAGAAATTGAAATAGAAAGTCTTGCAACATGAATAAATCATCAAATGCTTTCTCCTGCTTTCTTCATGCAGCTTTCAGAAATTTTATAACGTTTTACTGTGTAAGGTATTAAAGTTTTCAACATGTTAAAATATTACTATTGAAAGCAATAATAATAATAAGAATAATGATAATAATAATAATAATAATAATAATAACAATACTAGTTAATAAGAATGAGAAGAACAATAACAATAATGATAATGATTAATTATAATGAAATAATAATGATAATAATAACAACAATGAAAATCATCGCATGATTAGTGTTGTGAATAACTTTGGGTCCTTTAAAAATGTTTTTGGATCGTTTTTAGCATAAATCTTAGTTAGGGTCAAAATTTGAGAAATGAACGCAAAAAAACTATTGAAAACATTTGCTCTTCTTACATTATGCCAAATCTTGACTCCGAAAAGAAAACGAACCAACAGAAGGCACATTTCTGCCAATGGAACCACTAGAGCAATGTTGAACCAATCATGGGTCCAGCAGGTGTTTCTACGTTTTTTGGGGATCTACAGCTGACAAACCGACAAATAAATATATCTAATTGTTGTAAATAAAATCGATTTAAAAAACTTCCATCTCCGATTTGTGATCTATTTAAAAAATGTTATTCACTAGAAATACACCCTGTCTAACTATTGCTCAACCCCCATTAGGCAAAATCCCATTGGCCGGCCCGACATGTCCATCATTTTCTCAATACTCTATGTGATTGTGTAGTGTACACTGAAAAGAAACTCGTAGATTTTTTATTAATATTTTCGCAGATTTTCTTAAAAATCTGGAGAAATGAAAATAATGGGTATTGAGAACGCAGTACGTAAGTGTGTCATACAGATATACATAAATTGCAGCTTTAAATATTAGGATTAAAGTTACGTTTATTGTTTAAGATTTTAACTTTTAAAAAATGTACTTTTTCCTCTTTCTTTTTTAAATGAAATAAAATATTTTTTGACGACGTTATTGATGATCTCACAATTTTGAAAAAAGAATATGCATTAAATTTAATAAGATTAAAATAGATTTTCAAGTACTTGACAACCTAATTGATAAGATACAATTATGGATAGATATTTTGATTGTTATCAAACTCTGAAAGAAATAGTAAAACTTTATGATGAAGAGAATTTTTTCATGATCAATTAGCAATTAACAAATCTTGGCAATCTTTTTGTTAGTTTTTGTTGCAAAAAAAAAGGCTTTCGGAAAAGACAAGACCAAAGAGACATCAAATGTTCAAGGATTATCGATCAAACAAAACTTGATAATTTCTTTAAAAGTAAAGAAAATAGCCTTAAAACAATAATCATAAAAAAAAATATTTGCCTTTTAATGCTTTCTAAATTACCAAAAGTTCAAAGAAGTCGATTTCAATTTATAGATTTTTAAAAAATGGTCTAAATATCAAATTCTTTTTGATAAAAGGTAGTGTATGTAAAAATAAAATATATATATATATATATAATTAATAGTCTCTTGCTTGGTTCGTTAGAACTTAAAAGCTAGTTTTAACCTGTAAATATCACCTTTTTCTTTGAAATATAATTTTTTGACGTTCATTTTGAAACCCCAATTTAATAAAGGTACTAAAGGCAAATGTGATCAGTATTGTGCTCGCTCTCACGAAAAAATCCGTTAAAGTTTTACAATAACTTTTTTAAAACTTAAACAGGAAACAAGTTCGTTTTCATTCTTCATGTTTTGTGGCAACTCACACCGTCACACGACCCCAGGATAATCTATTAATGATTACAGAAAAATCCGCAAAATGTTGAGCTTTCCAATTATGCAGAAAAAATCGCCGCAATGTTTAAACCGTTTAACCAAAGAGAATAGAATATATATTAGAGTGGAATTTACTAGAAAAAAGTGTAAAACGGCCATTTTGTTTCCATACTGCAGGTTTATTTCACATATTTATGCTATATAACCTTTTGGGCCCTGGAATATCTTTTTATAGAAAATCTAAAATTAATATTAAAAGAAAACCAAATTATGAAATAGGCTGGTTTCATAATTGACCAATGATCATTTCACATAGACTCTATGCCTTTCACTTTACAAACGATGATTTTCCGTTATAACTATAAATCAAATGATGTTTTTTATTCACCTAATTCATTATAAAGTTTATTTAACAGTTTAAAAAATTCGAAATTGAAATGGATAGTCTAGGGAACATACTGTATTAATGTACTCTACTGCATATAATTTGTGAACATTTACATGATTTGTACACTTTGAACTCCCTTTCAGGCTGAAAAGGGACTGAAAAAATTCATGCCGAGAGATTCTCTAAATTCCACTCAAATATATAGTCTATTCTCTTTGGGTTTAACTGATGCTGTAGAGAGGTGCGAAGCGACACGAAACCCTATAGTAGATTACAAAAGGGAAACGGAAAGGTATAGTATAATAATTTTGTACTGCCGAATTAGAAAGTGTGGGATATTTTTTTCTTAGCCTTTGATTTTACATTACTAATAACACTTAATTGTACTTTTTTGTAACATTTGTAACAGTTACATTTTCGAACTATAAAGCTCTTGCTTTTCAGAACTAATAATCAATTTTTACGCAAGAGCTTGCAGCTTTTAGATCACTGCAGCTCTCTATTCACACACCAAAAGAAATCCTGTCCAATTTAAATTGTTAATTTTAGAAAGTGATTCAATTCATGAAAATTGTAAAAAAAAAATATTACTTAAAAAAGCATTCAAAGATTTCAAATTTCTGGTTTTGATTTTTCTTAACTTTTTTCTTCATCCTTATCTTTTCTTAACCTTTTTTCTTCCTATTCTCCTATTTTCTTTACCTTTTTTCTTCCTATTCTTCTCTTTTCTTAACCTATTCCCTGTTTTTCATTCTCTTTTCTTAACCTTTTTCTTCCTATTCTTCTCTTTTCTTAACCTATTCCCTGTTTTTCCTTTCTTTCTCTTTTCTTAACCTTTTTCTTCTTTTCCTTCTCTTTTCTTAACCTTTTTTCTTTTCCTTCTCTTTTCTTTACCTTTTTTTCTTTTCCTTCTCTTTTCTTTTCCTTTTTTCTTCTTTTCCTCCTCTTTTCTTAACTTTTTTCTTCTTTTCCTTCTTTTTTATTTACATTTTTTCTTCTTTTCCTTCTCTTTTCTTTACCTTTTTTCTTTTCCTTCTCTTTCCTTAACCTTTTTTCTTTTTTCCTTCTTTTCCTTACCTTTTCTTTAACTTTTCTTCGTTTCCTTCTTTTTTCTTTACCTTTTTCTTCTTTTTCCTTCTCTTTCATTAACATTTTTTCTTCTTTTCCTTACCTTTTCTTTAACTTTTCTTCGTTTTCTTTCTTTTTTCTTTACCTTTTTCTTCTTTTTCCTTCTCTTTTATTTACCTTTTTTCTTCTTTTCTATCTCTTTTCTTAATATCATAATTTTCACAATCACCCTTTTCTAAAACAAAAATGAACAAGTTAAACATGAATCATGATTTTAAAACAGGTTTGCATGCAAGTCCCACGTAAACATTTCACAGAACGATGGGAGAGGGGGGGGGGGATGATGAATTTTTTATTTCTCCAATAGAACACATAGATCCTGAAATTACTTTACTTTTGAAGCCCTATCTATATTTAATATACTTTGTTTGTCTTCCTGTTTGTTTATGTATTTAATAAACAACAAAACGACTGAACCGATCGGACCCACGTTTTGTGTGGGACCTCACATGACCCCAGGGAAATGTTAATGATGCGCGCTCAGAGTTACAAAAATTGTCCTCAACATTTTTTGATTTTCATAAAAATCTGGAAAAATTCTCTGATTTTTGTGAGTAAGATTGCAATCTTTGGATCACTGTGAATATTTCATGCAAGAGTTAAAATGATCAAATTTTAAAAAACTAACTTAATGGGAGCCAATTTAAGTACCTTTTCAGTATCAGTTGATGTGGCGCGGAGTTCCTTGATTTTCTAGATGTTGTTGTTTGCTGTTTTCCTTTCTATAGTACACACAAGAAGCATTCTACAAAGAAAGCTTAAATTCAAGGTTTCAGTTCAACTTTGAACTTTTCAACTTTGCTCAGTGATTTTTTAACACTTTTAAACCATATTTCCTGTAAATACAGTGTTGGCCAGTACTGTGTTTTTTTAATCAAGATTCATCTGAAACTGCACCGTGTCCGACTCATTATCAATGTAAATGCATTTTATAATATAAGAATAACATAAAATTGAAATAAGCAATATTAATATAAATGTAACGAAATATGATTATAGCAGTTTTATTTTTGATTCAATCTTGGCATTAGAGTTGCGCTTAGTTATTATATAATTTCGAAATATGTTTAAATATCCAGATTTTTGTGACGTTTTCTGTAAACCTAAATATCCTGAGCTGGGAACTTTAGAATGGTTGATATCAGGATTAACAAATGCTTGTTCTCCTCTTGTTATTGATCTCCAGATCGGGATTAAGTTTTATAATTATTCTAAAGTTTTCAGCTCAGAATGTTTTAAACTGGATATTAACGATGCTTATTGAATTTTTAACTCAATCAAAGAAACTGAGGAATCTTTACAAACTGTAAAATTCTAATTCCCAAACGTTTAACCCGAATTTTATGAATTGGAATGGGCGCTGAGATCCGTATACTGCCTGTTCTAAAGAAAAAAATGAATAGCCTTAGCAAGCTGAATTCTTAATTCTTTTAAGTACTTTTCTATAATTCTTAAATTTACAGCCTATCAAATGATATAAATCTCTTCTTTTCGGTTAAAACCAATTATTTTGATCGACCTAAAACTACAAAAATCTTCAAAATAAGTTGCAATTCAATAAAAAATTATTAAAAACTGAGATACATTATCTAGTATGCAACCTGAACCATAAATTGAATGATCGGAATACGACATTTTAGTCATCAAATGAATATTTGTTGTAAACCAAATAGTTTTCCAGTACCTTGACAATTAACTGTTATATAATCTGTGCAAAACATATGCATCATGTTCATTGGACCAATTGAATTAACACATTTGTACCTTTATAGTCCAACAGTATTCCTTTTTTTGCCCACAGTTTTAGGGGTCTCACTGTAAGTATTTAATTAATAACCTCAACTGGTGTATTTTGTGAATCATATTTCTCTATTCAAAATCGGTAAATAATCTTATGTTGAAAAATTCCTTTCAAACTTTTTGAATTGATCAATTAAAGTATCGAAATTAGGCATAATTTAACCTTTACAAATATATTAATGGAACTTTTAAGTAATACACTCGCTTTAAATGCTCATTTCTTAAATTAAAAAAAAAATATCTTAAGAAATGAAAATTGCATCCCCCATCGGCCGTCGAACCAAAAAAAATAAGCATTAAAATATGCAAAGTGTATTACAATAACAAGGGGTACATTTGTGTAAAAATCGGCTGATATAAACTTTTTTCCCTAAGTATTTTAGTTCGTTTAATACAATATATAAACATACAGGGTGTCCCATATCATATTAGATCGTCAATCAGTCTAAATTACGATTTTCGGGACTAATCAGAAAATATAAGAAAAAAGAATCATTTTGATAAATTGAATAAGGCTAATGTAATAATTTTCTTGTGGAATTTACTAGTTTTTTCGAGTATTAAGGTTTTATTTTAGCGTTAAAGCTTGGAGATAATCTAATATGATATGGGACCCTCTGTATAATCTCTATANGGGGGGGGGCGCAACCAGGGGTGAGGTGAGGGGAGTATAAATCACCACCCCACCACCATAATTTTTACCCCCCCTTTCTAGGTGCTGCAAGGTCAGGTTGGTTTTAATTAAAAAACATACAAAAAAAGACAAAACATGCCACAATTTTAGTACTTTAATGATTAAGATTATTTGTACTTATCAAATGTACTTTTAAAATTAATAAAAACCGGATAGAAACAGCAGAGCCCGTTCTCTCTATAGATAGTGGTCACTGGTCGTGTAGTTCACGTACTTTGGGGGACGATATGTTGGCAGCTAAATGTCTCATGCTAAATTCTTATCTGATAGATATAAAATTTCACCGTACATTTGACGACCAATATAGGAATAGGAGACGTCAAGTTGTCGACCAATGTAGTTTATGGAAGGAACGGCCTCAGAACATTTCTATCTATCTATCTATTAGAGAGATTGTTAAACTATCTATCTATCTATATTCTATCTATCTATCTATCTAGCAGAAGACTACAGCTGGTTGTACAAGCATGAGTTTGTGCGTGACAGTTGAACTAGTAGTTTGCTAGCTAGAGCCGGTACTAAAACCTCCTCCTACATTAAGTTATTTGATTATATTGTAGCTTCACCATAGGTGATCCTATACCCGAACCTATCCCCACATTCTCTCCTTGGAATAGGTAGGATAAATGTATTTTTTATTTCAATTAATCTCGTTGTAATTATAGTCAATTTCTGACCCTTATTCCACGTTATCAATGGTTTATGATTTTTAAGTTCCTGTTAGTTTAAAGTTCCAAGTCATTTGTAATTTTGTATATCTACATTTATTTAGTGCTTTTTTATAATCTCTAGGAGGTATTTTGTTATATTTATTTCTACATCCAATTTGTTCTATTTATTTCTAAAATGTATATTGTAAAGTAATAACTATGTAAATTGGCCGAATTATTTGATTTAATTTCTCGTAGAATTTAGCAAATTTAACCAATTTTCATGTAATTTTGGTGCAATAAGTTTTATAATGACAAAGTCACATGAACAAAAGTTTGGGTTCAGTCCTTTTTGTAGACTGTAGTATACAGAGTACAGTGTAGACTGTAGTACACAGAGTACAGTGTAGACTGTAGTATACAGAGTACAGTGTAGACTGTAGAACACAGAGTACAGTGTAGACTGTAGAACACTGTACAGAGTACAGTGCAGACTGTAGAACACTATATATAGTACAGAGTACAGTGTAGACTGTAGAACACAGAGTACAGTGTAGACTGTAGAACACAGAGTACAGTGTAGACTGTAGAACACAGAGTACAGTGTAGACTGTAGAACACAGAGTACACTGTAGACTGTAGAACACTATATATAGTACAGAGTACAGTGTAGACTGTAGAACACAGAGTACAGTGTAGACTGTAGAACACAGAATACAGTGTAGACGGTAGTACAGAGTACAGTGTCCACTATATATAGTACAGAGTACAGTGTAGACTGTAGTACACAGAATACAGTGTAGACGGTAGTACAGAGTACAGTGTACACTATATATAGTACAGAGTACAGTGTAGACTGTAGAACACAGAATACAGTGTAGACGGTAGTGCTGAGTACAGTGTACACTTTATATAGTACAGAGTACAGTGTAGACTGTAGAACACAGAATACAGTGTAGACGGTAGTGCTGAGTACAGTGTACACTATATATAGTACAGAGTACAGTGTAGACGGTAGAACAGAGTACAGGACTGTAGAATACAGAATACAGTGTAGACGGTAGTGCTGAGTACAGTGTAGACGGTAGTACACAGAGTACAGTGTAGACGGTAGAACACAGAATACAGTGTAGACGGTAGTACACAGAGTACAGTGTAGACGGTAGTACAGAGTATAGTGTACACTATATATAGTACAGAGTACAGTGTAGACGGTAGAACACAGAATACAGTGTAGACGGTAGTACAGAGTACAGTGTACACTATATATAGTACAATGTACAGTGTAGACTTTAGAACACAGAATACAGTGTAGAATGTAGTACACTATATATAGTACAGAGTACAGTGTAGACGGTAGAACACAGAGTACAGGACTGTAGAACACAGAATACAGTGTAGACGGTAGTACAGAGTACAGTGTACACTATACATAGTACAGAGTACAGTGTAGACGGTTGTACACAGAGTACAGGACTGTAGTACACAGAATACAGTGTAGACGGTAGTACTGAGTACAGTGTAGACTGTAGTACACAGAGTTCATGACTGTAGTACACAGAGTACATTGTATACTGTAGTACACCAAAATTCAGTGTAGACTGTAGTACACAGAGTACAGTGTAGGCTGTAGTATACAGAGTACAGTGTAGACTGTAGTACACAGAGTACATTTTACACTGCACAGTGTAGACTATAGTACACAGAGTACAATGTAGGCTGTAGTACACCAGAATACAGGGTAGACTGTAGTACACAGAGTACAGATTTAATGAAGCAGCATTTAATTAAATTGGAAGCTAATATCAGTCTTGAAAAATTAAACTTCCTTGATGCATTTAAATTTGTGCAAGGTGCTAAATTTTCATATTGTTTAGTTTGATGTTTTTCAGCTTATATTGACAGAATTAACTGAATTAACTGTTTCCATTAATTTTCGTCCTATATCCAGCTGGCTGTAAGCTCTAATATCCTGTTTTTTTTCTTTTCCTGTTTCCAGTGTGTTTTTAACTAATCATAATCGTATTAAACATTTTTTATTTATTTTCCTGTTTCCTGTGGCATTAGTGAACAAGTTTTATTTTACTATTTCCAGTGTCTCCAGTTAAAAGTTTTTATTGTCCTGTTTCTATTGTCTCTATTGTCCTGTTTCTAGTGTCTTTAATGAACAGTTTTTAATGTCCTGTTTTTGCGCCTTCAGTAATCAGATTTTATTATTCTGTTTCCATTGTCTTCTGTTAACAGTTTTTTTTACTGTTTTCATAGCCGCCTTTAACTGTTTTTTTATTGTCCTGTTTATAGGGTTCCTTTTGTTTTGTATTTTCTGTTCTTACACCGTCATCTTTGTCCTGTTTACCCTGTGTCCTGTTTCAAATTGACTACTATCCCGTTTAAATCTTATTTTTCCTGTTTTCATTTTATCTGGCCAATCTCCTGTTTTTTTAGTCTTCTAATTCCCTAATCTGCTGTGGTGTGTCCTGTTTAGAGTTTAATATAATATAATATAATCATTTTGTGCATTAGATTTCTAATATAAATTTTGCCAGTCTCCATAATTAAGGATTATTACGCAATACTAAACTTTCTGAAAATTATAAATTTAATTTTAAGTTTTATGTTGTGGGACATAATAGGGTTGTTATGTGGGGGGTCAACCTACCCGGCGCCCCCTTGTTTCCTCGCTCTGCCCTTCCCCACTCTCTTTCTTCACCTTTTGATTTTGCATTCTTGAAAATTAAGAACTTTTTATGGTTTAACTTAAATTCAAGACCCTTTATTTATTAAGCTAATGTTTTGGAAACTAACTTTTAAATAATCAAAAAAATTTATTGTTCCCGTTTAGTTAAGCCGTATAAAAAATGATTTTTTTTCATTAAAAAATTCTTGTTTTTTTTCTAACTTGTTATCTTCGAATAAGATGATATTTCATGCAATTTCTAGAATCTATAATAAATATTGGATTAATATCCATTTTGGAAAGTATGACTTTAAACTGGTATTTACGCTGCTCGCAAATTACTTTTGTAATCAATGTCATAATTAATTTCAAATTTGTACCCCGAAAAATATTTTTGCAATCAGTGTCATTGTCAATTTTTGCCCAAAAAATATTTTTGCGAAAAGATATGAACTTTTTCAAAACCAGTTTTTAACTCTTAATGCTAAATAAATATAAATGGCGGGTCGGAAATCCACGAAGAAGAGAATGTAAAATCCGCCAAATAATAGTTTTCTTGTTCCACTTAAAAATACACTTCTTTGCGAATCAATGAATGAAAGCTTGCTGAACCGGTAAACTTTACATTATTGGTGTTTAATTGTTGCATAGTAAGTATTTCAAGTTAATGTTTCCAGGCAATTTTATCGACACAAAATATTTGAAAAGCATTGATACTTAATGATCAATAATTTTCAGGCCAAGAATGCCGAATATCAAGGTATTCAGTGGTTCGTCTCATCTCGATCTCACAAAGAAAATATGCGACAGGTAATAACTAACGTTTTTTAAAATGGAAATTATTTCAAAGAAAAAAATCTTATAAATTATCGTACATTATTTAATAGAATTTGTTCGACATCTAAAACTTCAAGAGAAAATGATATTCTTAAATTATCCATATTTAAATTTTAACGAAACTTAATTTTTCAAAAAACTAACTGAAAACTTTACTTATCTTTCATTTTAGAACAACGATGTACTTTTTGTTTCAGGCTCGGTTTAGTGCCTGGAAAGGTTGTTACCAAAAAGTTCGCGAATCTTGAAACCTGCGTAGAAATAGGAATGTTATCATGAAACTAAATCATCTGCAAACATTTTAAATCTAATTAATTATTGATTTAGTTAGGGCATATTGTTTTAGTGAATGAATTTGAAAACTTTGAACTTTTTTGTAAACTTAAGAATTACGTTAAAATGGATACAGCTTACCACACATTAATGGATATAAATAAGAAATCTGTATATATCAATTTACCGATTTGCCTCAAAATATGACAAGGGAACTCAGAAGAACCACGAAAATGGTCTTAGCTTGGTTTAGAAAATCTTAATTAAGTTCGTCGACTGTTCCAGGGAAAGTTTAGATTTCCATGGTCCGAATTTAAAGAATTTGCGGAGTCGTTGAACTGCCTATACTGCTGGTTCAAACTTTGCATCGGTGGTTCAAATTCGGTCCCGGCAGATCTGGGTTCCCAGACTAGTATATGATATTTATCTGATTATATAATTGTATGCTGCCATGTGAGCCATGCTTGTGCAGTTCTTCCCTCCCCTGTCCCATAGTACACAGTACACACATTCCTAGATCCTGAACCTTGTCCTGAACTAGTTATAGAATCAAGTATTCTACTAAAGTACATCGACTTACTTTCAAACTCAGGCAGAGCTCAGGGATTATGAATTAAGATGGGGGGGGGGGTTGGACAGGGACTTCTTACACTATATAATTGTTTGGAATGTTCTCGAAAACAATGATTGTTTTACCTTAAATGCAAAATAGAAAAATAATTGTATACATTTAAAAAACTAAATCATATTAAAAAATAAAATATTTGAATTTGTGTCTCTTTATCGTCCTTCCCTAGCCCTAGTGTGTACGACAGACGTTAAACTTAAAAGAACAAACAAAATGAAGTAATGTTTGAAATTAGTTTATTTAAGCTGATAAACCCTTGAATGACTAATTATTTCCTATAATATGATTATTTAGGGTGTCTTAAAAACCACCAACGTGACCCCCGGGTTACAAAAAAATAGTTACATGTTTAATGAACTAAAGTGCATCTTTATCTGAGAAACAATGAGGAAAATATCGTCGATTTATTTTCCTTCTCTCTGCAAGTAATTTTTTTATTTAGAAAAGACAATTTTTCAAACAGAAAAAAAATATATTTTTTGCTCCGTCGTATTAGATTTTGTGTTCTAGAAGTAGTGTACATTGTACATGATGCATGATGTACAGGAGAGAGTGTACGAGGGGAGGATGTTTATATACTTCAGACTGCTGGAGGGATGGTTAATGATAACCTAATGGAACTTCTCATCATGATCAATGCTTGTAAAATAGCTTCAGCTGAACGGGTAATTGCACATTACTTAATAATATGTTTTTAAGAGTTAATATTTTCTACAGAACTATTTGACTACTAATAAATTTGATTATTTTATCCTGATCTTGTTCTTAGCACTTTTTTAGTAAAGAAAATGCACTTTTTAAGCTGTTACACGAATTTCGCAGTCTATAATTCACAAGATGCAATTAAGTATGCAAGTATGCAAATTTCTCTAGCAAAACTTGCAAAACTAGATATTTTGAGATTTTAAAAAATCCAGTTGAAAGAAATGGTAAAAGTGGAAAATTAAAGATTTCTATAATCATGGATTGGCAGTCAGAAACTCAGGAAAAAATACTTAAATATTCAAAACTCTTGCATACAATGATACTGCAGTGCTTTTTATTTTCAAGTCTTCCAAAATAAGTTGGTAAAATATATTTCTAGCTGAAATAATACTTATGCCACACATTTTATCAGTTATATATATATGTGGTTTTAACACTCCAGGGGTGTATAAAAAGTGGGACGCGGGGGAGGGTTATAGTGATCATTTTGTACCTTAAAGATCTTTCAAACCAAAGTGTGATGTATTCACTAATTCAGCATTTAATTTCCTATGCATAATATTATTATGAGAATGGTTTCTAAGCAGATATTGAAGAGTAAAATACAATGAGGGAAAATATTTTCTAATCGAAGTCAAATTGCTTAGATAATATCTTGGGATGGGGAAATTTCAGAGCTTTAATCGTATATCTCGTATATACAATTATTATAGGTGACAGCTGTGATACCTAGTTTCTTCTATGCTAGACAGGATAAGAAGGATAAATCTCGAGCTCCTATCTCCGCCAAGCTTGTGGCGAATATGTTGAGTGTTGCTGGGGCGGATCATATTATTACAATGGATCTACACGCTAGTCAGATACAGGTATACAATACTTACTTATATACACGCTAGTCAGATACAGGTATACAATACTTACTTATATACACGCTAGTCAGATACAGGTATACAATACTTACTTATACACGCTAGTCAGATACAGGTGTACAGTACTTACTTATATCCAACTTGCATATTTAACGCAATATATTTGGACTTTTGAAGTTTTCCAAGTGTGGTATTTCGGAGACTAATGTTTCCATGGTAGAGGTCAATATCAGTTAACCGGAGCGCGGTTAACTTTATACAAGCCCCCTGATACGATTTTTTCACTTGGAAATGATAACAAATTCTGCACTAATACATTTTTCAAAATGTATTGTTTTAACAACTGTAGATAATTTTTCTTTGCTTGACCTTTAAACCACAGAATCAGAAATTGCTTTGTTTTATGTTATTGAGTAAAATTGAACTTGTGTATTTTCTAATCTTTTTTTCATATTCTTTTGTTGCTATTTATGATTCCTAATTCAATTTCTAAAAATATTTTATGAAAGCTTTTATTTAAACTTTTGAGATAGCATAGTAGTTTTGTTTTGACTATTCCCCTTTTTCTCTGTTTGTTTTTATTGCATGGCTAGTAAAGTTCATTTGTTCTCAAGTTGATTATCTTCAATACAAATCTAACTTTATAATCACGCAAACAGGTAGAAAATTACGTCACTTATAAATCCTACATTACTGGTTTCCGATCTAAAATGATATTGTCAAGTTTTTTTAGATATTGTATATTTGAAGTATGGTTTACAGCGAAAAGAAACCTTTCCCGAAAGTGCGAAATTTTACGCAAATTTTCTTTCGTATTTCGCAAAATTTGTCGCCAAAATTAAATTTGCGAAAGAAAGCCAAAAACCATGCGGAATTTCGGGATAAAAAAATAAATAAGCGATAATTTGCGAACAGATTCCAAAGTTTCGCAAAATTTTCGTGAAACAAAAAATGCGTAATTTCCCAAAAAGTCAAATTTATCGCAATTTTTGCATTTTTTCCGCGGAATTTTGCCTTTTATTTACGAACAGAATACAAAAAAAAAATAGAAACGATTTTATCATTTCGCTGAAAACCCTAATTTAAAGTATAATTATTGAGAACGCTAACTCTCATACAACATGAAAGATAAAGTTTAGGTCAAGGTTTTATATATTAAGGGTAAAGGGGATGGGTTTTTGTACATTTTATGTAATGTCTGCTCAGGAACTAGTTTAGGTACATAAACAACAGTGAGTAAACAATCTCCGTCGTCCTACCCTCCCCCCAGAACAGTTTAGATCTTTGTTGTTGTTTTGGTAAAACTAGTTCAGCTGGTCCTTCAGTATTCCATGATATTAAGGTAACCACGAGTAGAGAAATAGGCCAGGGAACCCATGGATTCGTTTCCTTTTCGGTTTTTACAAAACTTAAGAACAAATCATAATGAACATACGAGGCCTTGTATAGAATTCCTCTTAAAAGCGTGAAGGAATGGCCAGGAACCCATGGATTTATTTCCTTTATGGTTTTCACAAAACTAAGATTGAACTACACAGCTTTGTATAGAATTCCTCTTTTTAAAGGGAGTGTTCGCGAAAAATGAAAGGGGGTATAGGCTTATTGCGATAAAAAAGCGCTTTTGATCGCTACTAATCTTACTACTATCTCTTGCGTCTATAAGGAGAAAATTGTTAAAAACGACTCGCATCGAAGAACGCATCAAATGTACAAATTCGGAAAGATGCAACATTCTACTCGGATCGTAAACAAATCAACTTAATTCCAAACAAATCATTCAGATATTACAAACAATAGTCATCGATTCTTTTTCGACGCATTCGTATATAGTTAATATTTCATAATATTTTTGATTTTGTTTTTTAAAATAGTTTGCGCTGGCGTTGGATTTTCGAACAATACTGGAAAATATGAAAATGTCGTCTTACAGGGGCGTACGAGGGCTTTTGTTTAGGGGGGGGCACAAATTGCGCGCGTAAGCGCGGAAAAAATTTTTTTTGGTCCCCCCCCTTGGCAACATTGTGCCCCCCCCCTTAAAAACCCCTTTTTGGAAAAAATATTAATACCTTTTTTAATTTTTTTTGCCCCCCCCCCCCCCCCTGGACTTGTTTTGTTCACCATAAAAATACACCAAAAAGACTACTTTTTTGGGTGTTACTAACCTTAGAGTCTAAAAATTATTCCTTTGCTTGAAAAACTAACTTTTTGACTTTATAACCTTATCACTTACCTCCATCACAGCTAACTAAATCAATAATCACAGCATCATTAAAAATTATATTTTTACTAATAAACGAAATTTCTTCTGAAGTTTTTAGATAGAATTTACTCAATCTACATATTTACCAACTCTTTTAAGCTAAAATTTTCTGGGATTTGCTTGCACAAACATTTCAATGATTTTTTTTCAATAGAGAGCTCAGACAGGGTGTAAAGCTATAAATAAGTGCAAGATCGTTAAGTCTGCTCTCCGTCATAGTACATCTTGTGTAATGAAGTATTCTCTTTAGAAGGCTAAAAAACTTCTCTCTCCTTGTATTAACAGTGAATTCAGACAAATCCTTAGTCTTTGTCATTGTCAGGTGTTACTTTTTAAACGTTGTTTCCTTTTCATTTTGTATTTTTGGAACTCCCAGGGGGGCAAGAGGACTACTGTCTCCCCTAGGTACACCACTGTGCTTGACCTGAGGAAGGGAAATGCAAGCAGATGTAATATTAAAAGAGCCTCCCCCATGGATGCCCCCCATCAGCCTCTCATGGGGGGCACGGCCCCCCCCCTCGTACGCCCCTGAAGATATGAGAATTAGAAAATCAGAGTAATTGTGGTAAGAACTCGATTCTTTTCTTTTGGATTAGAATATGTGGCATGTTTTTATCCTAACTTCTGTTTTTGACGTTTTATTAAAGGAAATGAAAACGTTATGACTGTGACATATAAGTTGTGCAATTTACATTGCCCTAGAGTAGCGTTTTCTTTTTTATTTGCTAGCGTTTTATCTTGTAGCTTTTTATGAGTGTAGCGTTTAATGTGGTTGCGTTTTATGAGTGAAGAGTTTAATAAGTGTAGCGTTTAATGAGGTAGTGTTCCATCTAAGCAGCGTTTTTTCTAGGCACACCCTACTTAAATGGAGGGTGTACAGCGATCAAAAAAAAATGAAAAAATGTGAGTTTTCTACAAAAATTTACTTTTATAAATCAAAAATAGAGGACAAACGAGATCCAACGGTCGTATCAGTCATTTACCTTATAAAATGATGGAATATAACGATGGATGGATGAGCGACTTGTATCGTTCAGAGAAATGTAAAGACAACCGTTTTATATAAACAAACGAAGAGCAAACGATTTTACTGAACGATAGTTACTGAGAAAACAAAAGAAATAGATAGAAAATGAATGATAATTTTGGGAACAAACGAAATTAATTTCTTTAACTGAGAGAAAAAACTGAACGCGCCCACCTCTAGGCCTGCATGGACAAAGCTAAACCTCTGGCATGAGGATCTCTGGAATTTATCGAGATGAATTCAGTTTGGTATACTTGGTATACTTGGTATACTTGGTATACTTGGTATACTTGGTATACTTGGTATACTTGGTAAAGTTGGTATAGTTTCATTGAAGAAAACTAAAAGTAAATGAAATTTTGAATTACATGGGACTTTTTGTGTTGCTTCCTAAAAATCTTTGAAATATCTGAAGATCTAAATATTTTAGAAATNGTTTAGGAAACTCTAGGTTTTGCAGGTTTAGGAAACTCTAGGTTTTGCAGGTTTAGGAAACTCTAGGTTTTGCAGGTTTAGGAAACTCTAGGTTTTGCAGGTTTAGGAAACTCTAGGTTTTGCAGGTTTAGGAAACTCTAGGTTTTGCAGGTTTAGGAAACTCTAGGTTTTGCAGGTTTAGGAAACTCTAGGTTTTGCAGGTTTAGGAAACTCTAGGTTTTGCAGGTTTAGGAAACTCTAGGTTTTGCAGGTTTAGGAAACTCTAGGTTTTGCAGGTTTAGGAAACTCTAGGTTTTGCAGGTTTAGGAAACTCTAGGTTTTGCAGGTTTAGGAAACTCTAGGTTTTGCAGGTTTAGGAAACTCTAGGTTTTGCAGGTTTAGGAAACTCTAGGTTTTGCAGGTTTAGGAAACTCTAGGTTTTGCAGGTTTAGGAAACTCTAGGTTTTGCAGGTTTAGGAAACTCTAGGTTTTGCAGGTTTAGGAAACTCTAGGTTTTGCAGGTTTAGGAAACTCTAGGTTTTGCAGGTTTAGGAAACTCTAGGTTTTGCAGGTTTAGGAAACTCTAGGTTTTGTAGGTTTAAAGACGACATTATATGGATGGGCGGGGGTCTTATAGTTAATGGTTGACAACTATGTAGATGTAATATTAAGTGACTTTAAATCTATAGAGTGGACTTTTACGATTCTCAACTGCAGTACCCTTAATATAGCGTTGTATGATAAATTATGAATTATATTATGTTTATGGAAAACTAATTATTTCCGAATTTTGGTTTTCTGCAAAAGTGCAACCTTGCGCATTTCTAATTAAAAAGCAAACGAAGTAAAATTATCAGAATTAAACAGTTTTCAAGCTTGAAATGATACTGCAGTATGTATGTACACTATTGATAAAATAGAGCGTTAAAGGGTGAATCTGACATGACACTTTAATAATGAAGAGTAAGTTACGTCTATTAGATGTAACTTACTCTTCATTATTAAAGTGTCGTCTATAGTTCTATTGATGTGTAGAAGAGTCTTGAAGAGACATTGCATTATATTTTGTACCTATATTCATTGCTATTTATTTATTTGATGNTATTATGTACATACTTGTATTATGTACATACTTGTATTATGTACATACTTGTAAACTTGTAAACTTTCGAAAAAATAAACAAAATGTAAAGCTTTAAGTTATTAGCTCTTAGCCTTTGAATAAGGGTCAATGGGGGGGGGGGTAAACAATATTGCAAGATGTACAAATACTAGGCTTCAATCGATTTTAACTTTTAATTGTTGCTCTTTATGCGCCAATTTCTTTTAAATTATCAAAAAATAACAACGATATTTTGCGGATTTACTGATTTTTTTTTCGTGGATTTTTTAAGGCAAATTTTTTTATTCTGAACATTCGTTGGGACTTTCCTGGGATTATGTAATGTCCAGTGGCGGATATAAGGGGGGTTATTGGGGTTATTTACCCCCCCCCCTAGAATCCTGGGGGTAAATACCCCCCCTAGAATCCTGGGGTAAATACCCCTCCCTAGAATTCTAGGGGTAATTACCCCTGAACATATATTCAGGCCCTGAATAGCAGGGGTTACTCCATTTGCTGCCTCTACAAGTAACAGTTCCAGTTGCCTTGACCCCTTCCCTTCAAAAAAAAATACATTCCCTATTGATTAGTCTGAACTTGTGTAAAGACGACT